GCCAGCATCCTGGTCCACCGCGCACGATCTCGCATCGTTTCGCGATCGTTCTTCGATCCGATCGAAATGCGATGTCGCGAGATGTTGCGAAAGCGCCTGATTTATGATCTCCTATTCCCGTTCGCCCCGAAAAATCAACTCAAGTCAGACTCCGTAACATCCGGCTCCAAATTGACAGCTTTCTCCTAAGACGCATGATTGGAGATTCATCGCAGATGCGTTGAAACGCGTGTGTTTAATAATAATCTAAAAATAAGGAAAATGTGACGGCTCACGCTCTTATTCGCTCCTCTTTTCTCAAGGGAAGTCGTAAATTGAGATAAGTAACCGAGCCTTGCTAGAGAGCCTACGTGAGAGGAGTACGAGAGCACCGAAAGAGTCTGCGACATTTTTATGCCATTTCGATATTAAAATAGCTCTTGTCGAGGAGCTTGCATACCGTTGTATCGTATAGACGTAACTGCGTTTAATATCGCGCGTGCACGAGATTTCTTTACGGTCTACCGAGAGAGAGACTGATACACAAGCGCGGCGGGCAATAAAAGTCGCCGGTACCTACCGATACCACCCACGTGCCCAGCCGCGTCCGCACCTCTTAACAGTCAATGGAACCACGATTACGCTATTGTTCGAAAGTTTATGGCCGGCCGAAGGGCCTTTCATTACTTCGCGGCGTGTATCTCTCGCCCCGACACGCTTTCTCGCACGCGTCGAAATTCTGCCGCTGTCTGGACCACAGTTTCTCTCAACTTCCACCGATAAAGCAGAAAATTTGCATTCCCGCTACATCACGTTTACAGGAGAATTTGCTACCGCAAGAATCGAGCCATCGAATACCTATTACACGCGCATTTGTTGTCTCGACATTAAATAATTGAAGTCTTTATCATTGATCAAGAGAATATTGAAATATGAATTATATGTCATGCAGCTTGAATATTCGTCTATTACGTCGGCAAGAATTTAAACAAATAAAAAAATCTCTACGCGACTTCATCGGTTTGCAGGAGAATTTACTACTTTAAGAATTGAGTCGTCAGAATACTTATTAAACGCGCTGTTGCTGCATTTCAATATTAAATAATTGAAGTGCTTATCATTGATCAAGTGACACGAATATTGAAATATAAATTACATGTCATACAACTTGAATATTAATTTCGGTTCATGTCGGGGCAAGAATTTAAATAAATATAAAATAAAAAGAATCCGTATACGACTTGTATGAATTTAAATTTGAAATTACTAAGGTGCGTAATTTGCATTGTATTATCAAAATAAATTTTTTACGAATTATACATTATAGTTAGAGAAAGTAAAATTATATAAAATTATTTAAAAATTATATTTCTTGCCACAATACATAAAATAATATAAATTTAAAAATTAATAATATAAATAAATCCATTACATAATAAAAATATCACTATTCTGAGGTCGTGAGATTGGATACTTTATCTTTCAAAATTTTTCACGTACCCTTACATCATAATAATCATTTATCTCCAACTAGAAAATGCAAAAATGCAATCAGTGTGTTTAAAGAGCAAACTTTATTAAAGCGAAAAATTAGAAAGAGTCTTACGAAAGAATTCGTGCTTTCGTAAGCTTAACACGATGGTAGGTGTAGTTTAGTATTACGTCAGTCTCTACGTCCGGGAATTTCATGAATGGAACGCAAATTCACGATGTGCCTGGGTGTAATGACGTCAGTGGTAAACATGACGTCGACAGAGGGTCTCCCGTATCCGCGGAAGAAATAGGTCGCTGCTCCGCTGACGGGAACGCGACTGCGTACAAACGTCGCGTATTCACCGCATTAAGGATTTGTCCGCATTTTTGTCTGCATACGTAAAAAAACAAAAAGAGAGAAAAATATCCGGCCAAATTCAAAATCCAGCTTGCGATGACTTTAACTGGCGCGTACCAAGATATATCGTCGAAAATGCATTTCACCTCGCGTTACATAAACAATTCTGCTTTCTCTCAATGACACTACCTTGCTTTCTTTTACCGTGACTAATTTCCGCTACGTGTGCCTTCATCACAATACGATAGAAATTTCCTCGAACATAGCCTCGTTAATCTTCATCTCGCCTCGAAATTCGTTTTAAAGCCCAGCAGAAAAATTCGCGAAATAAATTCTTCTCCAAGGAAAACGCATCCTCATTAATTGAATCGACTGTATTTGCAAATATATTTTTATTATCTTGCATAAGCAAGATATTACTTTAGATATTACTTTAGATATTACTTTAATGATATTTTTATTACGTGAAAATTATTTTGTATTGCGGCAAGAAACATAAATAAATTCTTCAACATGTTTTCTCCTCTTTATATTTTTCTATGTATTTTGTAAGTAAATACTTTCATGGAAAAAAAAATTAAGTTTCATCATTTGCGTAATATTTCAAGCTGCTAAGATTAATTTAATTCGCGTTAAGAGCTAAATGTTTTAACGCGCAGTATCCTGCGATCATAAATGAATCTTTTAATCGCGTCGTGAAGATCCATCCTGCCTCTCATCTTTGCGAGAACGTGACTATGTTATGGCGACATCTTTAAGCAACATATTTGCAAAGTTACAAAGGACTTAAATAAAACAAATCTACCGCTCTCTTTGTTTTTTGTTGCATATAAACGATGAATAAACGGTAAAAGATATATGCATTGTATAAGCTTATTAAGATTGCATAAAATTCTGCCGCAAAAAAAAAGCGGTGCAAGGATAATTTAGCTGTTAAAAATGTTAGATATATAATTTCGAAAAATATTATCTCTCGTCGCGAAAATTTGGATTCTTAAGTTCTTCTTCTTAACCCTTTCGTATCTCCGGCTTTCCCAAAAGAGATGCGTTTCGTATAAAAACAATTTTATAGTGCTGATTCCAAATTTATTATCAAAATTTAAATTCAAAATAGCGGTCATGAAAAACTGAAATATCGACATATTTAAAATATAAGCTTGGATTTTATTTTTTTAAATATGTATTATGTTTTTTCTAAATATACATACACACTCGCGGCGTTGTTATACATTTTTTTGCAGATCTCGCATAAAACTTCAAGTATATGCTATAATTAGCATCAATTTTATAAATTTTTGACATAATATATGATTTCTCTTCACTATCTAAAAGTGTAATTTTTTTTGCAAAAAGTTTAGGTAATTACATTTTATTATAAATATTACATTTCAAAGTACGCGATTCTTTTACATGTAGCTTGAACTTTCTTTTTTAAAACAAGCCAAGGTCGATAGTCAAAAGTTGATAGGGTTATTTGTTTAAAAGTTATGATTTTTTTCGTAGGTGGGATATATATGTCCCGGAGGTACGAAAGAGTTAAAATATAAAACAAATATTTAAGTTCAGTTTGATATAATATCTGTTCAAACAAATTGATAAACATTCTAATATTTGTCTTGTTTTCTATTTTTTCCTGCGATATTTGCAGTTTAAATCCCAAAGTTTTTTTAATTTCCTTAAACTTTTGCTACAAATACTTTGAGCATATTTTAAAAAAGAAGTGATTATATTAAATGAAAAAAAATGATAATTAATATCATAACAAATAATATACCTATATAATCTTCATATAATCTTCATACTTATAATAAATTGAATTCTATTTATTCAAGAAGTGAACACGAATTTAATAAAGAATTAAAAATAAATTGGTAAATAAAAATTATTATAAGAATGACTCAATATTAAAATATTTGAGAGATACGAGGTGAAATTTTCTCCAAAAATCTTTCGCGAGCGTAAAAAATTGACTAAAAGCTTCCCAGTCTTTCAGTCAATGAAAACAGAATTGTGGGAATTTCCCAGGGAAACATCACAAATCGCAATGATAAGCACATGTACCGCGCAAGGTCGCGAAGATTGCATCGAGATGATCGCGGCGGTCGAATCATCACGTCGACGTCGAAGACGTAGGTCCCCAGATACGCCCGAAGTCACCAGGAATATCCGCGTGTAATACGCCCCCGCTGTGCCAGAATCGCGTAGGGACGCTACACCAACCTCGAGTGCACTGGCCAAGGCACGGACTCATCCGAGAAATATGACCGTACATTATTATTAGATTATGTTTTCGGCGCTGGAGTCGAACAAGCGCGGCCATCCGTTCCGCTTGGCGTTCGGAGATCTCTCGGAGTCTCGACCGGCGCCTCCCTCGCGTGGCTCCTCTCGGCCAGATGTTACAACGCTGATGCGCGAGCCAGGGAGATACGACGAGATAACCCCGATCGGCATTTTTTCGTATTTAGAAGAGAAGCGAAATTCGAGGAAGGAACAGAATCAAAATTCTTTGGCTCGTATTCATGCCTCGTATTTCGAGCGAAATGTGTGTCATCCGGAGGATTTACTTAATACCAAGAGAGCTTGTCGTGTATGCCGAGAAATTAGTCACATTTACAGCTAATTTTGTGAATACGGAATATAAATATAAATTTACGTCCTCTTAAAGGAGAGATATCACGGAATTAAGAATGTTAAATAAATGAGTATTCACGTTTTTTAACTATTATTAAATGTTTATGATTTCTCGATGAATATTAGAGTATTTTTCTATTAAGAATATTACGAAAGATTATTTATCCCATAGCATATTTTATTTTTGTAATTAATTAAATTAAGAAATTACGTTACAAACCACGGTGCAGGTTTCAAAAGCGGATTTTTTTCTCCTCTTTTTAATCGCGTTCAATTTAAAAAAACTGCTATATATCACACGAGACGCGACGACATTGTCTCTTCAACGCGGACAAAAAAAGTTGCAATTTCCCGAAAAAAATTGCCCGTTCATTAATCAAGGGAACCGCGCACATTGTGTATGCATCAAATGTCTCGATAACAAATGCGCGGCACAAACCGCGCGGATACTTTACGGCCCTCCCTCGCGCTTATCTCCCTCGTATCGCGAAAAATGGGCGAAATGTAGCCGGGGCATTGTAACCGGCAATTTATATCGAAGCGAGATAATCTGACTCACGTTTCGATGCGCCGGTGCGCGAGCCACCCTCTCCGAGGACCCTCTCAGGAGCTCCGCGAGCAGCTCGGGACTCGGCCCCGGAAGTCCCTCGAGTTTCGTCGGGCTGGAGGTCGTCCGGTGGTGGCAGGGCGTGGGCGGCTCGGAGCCGCTGTTGTTGTTGCTGCTCGCGTTGTACGAGAGATTCGCCGAGATCTTCCTGCGAGGACGAAGGCCCTCGTCGAGCGCGATGTCGGCGGTACGAGGCTTCGCCATCTCGGCCTCCAGCATCTGCCCGTACGGCCCGCGAAGGGGTCTCTTGCTGTACCTTGGTCGGAGATAAGGAAGAATATCATTTTTTTGTAATATTCCAAGATTGACATATTTCTAGGTATATAAATCAAGAGAATAAAATTAAAATTTTGAATAAATATTTCACGCCTTTTCCTTCAAAAATAAGAGAAGATTGGAGGAAGAGGAGAAGGCGAGTCGCAAAAGATCGAAGCGCGACTTTACACGTGAAACTGTAATTATTTCGTTAAGGCTATTATTAACGCGAGTTTGCGAGCACGTTAGATCTGCGCGTCTGCGTATCAGGCGCACTTCCGTTCTATTTCGATGGATCCGAGCGTAGGTTCTCCGGTTACCTTCGAGGCGTGTGGCCCTCGCAGTCGGACAGATCGCTGGGCGTCGCAGGTGGCTCGTCTCTCTCCTCGCTGCTCTGAGCCGACAGCTTGTTCCTGTCCGCGTCCAAGGGCTCCGGCCATTGAGTTATGTACACGCCCTTCCTCCTCTTGCTGGTGTCGCCCCGGTTTCGTCTCGTTTTGCCGGATGGCGAGGACGTCTCCGAGGGTGTCTCGCTCGGCGCCTCGCTGCCTTCGCTAGCTTGACTCAGACGCGGCTCCTCCGGGGGTGGTGTGATGATCACCTCGTGCGGCTCTATTCTGGTCTCTAAAAACCGTCGTCGTGTCCTTATCATTCTTATCTGCCTACCGCTTGTCTAAAATTGATACTTCATCAGAGAGAGATAATTGCGTTGAAATTGAAGAAGGGCTCGAAGTCAGGCTTCAAACTCCAAACTTTTAACGAGCCAAATTTATTTTGTGCAGAGTCGTAAAGTGAGATTGTTCCGAAACATTTGTTTATTTTGAAACTATATTTTAAGATATATATTTTAAGACTAGGACGCGCAAGAATAGATATGCACTCGCTCTGCTAGGAGCCTAAAAAGTGGATAGCTTTAGAAAATTCTTACCCCTTTCTAATAATATATAAATCAGCGAACTTTCATTCAATTTGTAAAAATTGAATTTAATTCATAAAAATTAACGAAAGAGGTATCTTATTAAATTAATCAGCATTTTTTCCATCCATTTTACTTCCTCGACTTTCCAAACTTTAAGAATTAAAGAATATTTGACGAAAGTTCAAAATTGTTTCAACATTTTATCGATTAAAATCGATTCAGATTGGATTGATTCGCGCGGAGATTTATCGACGTGAATTCGATCGGGCTCATTTCACGGCCGAATCGAATGGACCATGTATTTCGCGATGTCGAGGGATAACGAGAAGCGGAGCAAGAGTCGAGAAGCCAAGAGAGAGAACGAGGACTATTTTGGGTGCATCGACAGGAGCACGGGTACAAAGGTGCACGTAAGTTCCATGTTATTTTGCGCGGCACTATTTTCAGAACGGTGGGTGCCAGAGAGTGGAAATAGACGTTTGAGCGTCATTGAGTTATAGCCATCTCCATTGATGACTTCACGTGCGCTCGCGCGTTCACGCGGCTGGAACCGCGCTTTCTCTCTCTCTCTCTCCCTCTCTATTCACAATAAATGATGAACCGATGCGCATTTCTTAACCGATGACGACGATATGCCGATCACTCGCGTTTCCTCGCCTTGTTCGTCCGTTTCCTGCCGCTTGTTTCCCCCGTTGATGAGCAACGCAAGCGAACACTCAGGCAAACAGATCCCTTGCTCGCGCACGCGGACTCCCACGCGAGTGTATTTCCGTTTTATATCCCACTGAGATATCTTTCACGCACACAATCGATCCACTATGACGGGCGGAAACTTTGCTCTCCAACAACTTTGGGATTCCGAACTATCCGCCGTTGTTTTCCTTTCCTTCGACAGATTACACCGAGAGATGCTAAGAGCGCTCCTTGTTAAAGCAAGTTAAAAATCGATATCTGCTAACATAGTCAAATCTCAATTGAGATAAAACAGATTATGCCATAAAGGATAACAATAAAATAATTGTATTATGCTAAGTTTCTTCTCTAAATATTTAAAATTAAATAAATGACATATATTTCTACACAATCAAGATAAGAAATGAGAATTATTCTCCCTATTTCCTCAAAACTATAAACATTCAGCCCATTTTAAAAACTAAATATTAAAACCAATTATTCTCCCTATATCGTCAAACTATAAACAGCCCTTTTTCAAAACTAAACACAAGATACCGATACACATATTCTTGAAGTCTAACCTTTTTGAACGGTCTCCTCCACGGTGTTTCCTTCGACAATCGGATAAACCGATTCGTGACTAATCGACTCGACGGCGGCCGCGTCCGTTTGATCGACCCTCGGCTCGTTCACTTCCGGGACCAGAGGTTCCGGGCTGGTGAGTGCGCTGGAAGTTGCCAGACTGTCTGAGCCATCGCTTCTGGGTCGGATCTCCTCGGGGTTCCCTTGCTGAGATACCCCTAGACCTTCGGCAGAACCGACGGCGCTGTCGACGCTGGGCGTCGACGTCCTCGGGCTCTGTCGATTGGGGCTGTTTTGGGGCGTCGAACCACCTGGGGTGACATCGCCACGACGACGGGGCAATGTGCTCGCGCGAACGTCCTTGATCTCGGAGCGATTGGACGTCGCGATCGGCTGAGTTTTCTGTCGGGTCACTGGAAGAGGAAAGTGCGGGTTCGTGCTGAAAGTAAAATCTGCATCTTTTGCAGAAATTCATGAGAAATTAGTAAGATTGTTCTCTGTTTCATTTGTGTTTTATTTTATCAAGCTTCTTAATATTGAAAGATTTTGAAAGAAAATATCGAACGATTTATATTCATCGAAATCAATATTAATATCAATGTCAATGAAAAAGTAGAAAATAATAAATGGAAAATTATCTTTTATATTTTTAGACATTTAATAATAATTTTATTATTAAAAGAAAAATACTAAGAAATTGAAAGTTTTCTTGTGAAAAGCTCAATTTAAATTAAATTTCAATTTCAATTTAAATTATTTGGAAAAATACGAGAATAAAGTATTAATATTGTAATATCTAGAGAATATGAATTGTTTTCTCCGAATTAAAATAATATTGTAATATTTAAAAAATATGTTTTCTATCTCGGAAACTTTAAAGTATAAATATAATGCATTGTAATTAAATTTATATGTATATAAAAAATATGTATCTATAAAATTTTTTCTAGCAATGCAATGTAAATTAACTGTAAAACAGAATTTTTACTTTTACTAATAATAAAATTTAAGAGATAAATAACGAAAAAAGGAAAGAGACTTGGACCAGGTTGCACCAACTTTATTTTAGATTTAATATTTAAATATGTGTGTCTATCTTTATCTTTCTTTCTAACTAAATAAAGACAGATATATACTTAAGTCTCGCTTAAAGCCAAAATAATGTTGGTGCAATCGAGGCTTAAACCTCTTCTCTTTACTAATAATTTTGACTGAATTTAAAAAAAAAGGCAAATTTCTATAAATACGGTATAAATACGATATAAAATTCGGTATAAAAACGATTTCCGTAGATGCTACTCGTCTGACGTATTTCAGAGGCGTATTACGCGCGATCGTTTTTAATAATAACTCGAGTACTCTTGCACCGAGCAACAAACACAGTCTTTCAGCCGCGAGATGAGAGAGCATCGGAGGAAGTCCTAATTACCTCCTCGAGTGTCACGTAAGTTTGGCAGCGCTCTTAGGTCGAGGAGGTGTGTGGACTATTCCAATAATAACAAACAGATCTACAAGACGGGAGGAGATCTCGAAGATGCGAAACAGCGCGTGTCTTGTTGGCCAAGTTCCGGGGAACGCGCTGACCGATTAAAAGGGAAGTGTACAATACGAAATTTTATTCTGCACACTCTGAGGAAAGAAATCGAGCAATAAATAAAGAAATAGAAATAAAGAAATGTGGAATATAATTTCGCTAAGTTTTTCGATTATGTAAATACTAGAAGATATATCTTGTACATGTCGTTTTCGCAATCTCACATATATACATATCATTTTTATGTATTTTGAAGTTTTGAAATTACGAAAGTACAAACTCGTTGAAATTATCCAGATTTCGTTCGTTAAGTCAAATCATAACCTCCTGTATTTTCTTTATTTAGAAAATGAAAAACATTTTTCTTAATTTATATTTTCATGATACATATATTTTTATTCGCGATAAATAATTTTATTAAATCGCTCGACAGTTGACTTGGAACGCGACGTTTAAAGTAGTAATAATTGTAACTTTAAATTGAAATAATGTCAATTGCAAAACGACACTTTCGGATATGTAAACATTCGTGTCGTTAATATTCGACGAGATTTATAATATTTTACCTACATATAACGTAAACAGTATAAGCATCAGATAAATAGATTTGGCTTACACGCCCAATCGCGGATAGACGAGAGTTAGGCAAGCGCGAAAATCCTGGCGACGATATTTCAGGAGCACCTGGTTATCCGCGCTCGCAGCAGCCGTCTTTCGTGCGTAAAAGGTGTCTCGAAAGATTTGTTGCTTCGGAAGCGTAAAGTGTTTCCGGCTCGCCAACCGAACGTCATGTTTTCGCGCCTTCAAGTGTTGGACTTTTGCTGACTTTTACACATCGTTATTCGATTAATAATATTTTTTAATAATTTATTTCTTAACCGCAGAATTAATTTATGATACTTTTTCAATAATAAAACTTTTCCTCTCTAATAATGTTTATGTATTTTAACAATAAAATTAGTTTATTATATATAATAAATATAAAAAATATCTAATAAAAATAATAAAATATCTAATATAAATAATAAAATATCTAATAAATATTTAATAAAAATATATAATAAATATAATAAATATAAAAAATATAAAAAATATAATAATAATATATAATAAATATAAAATTCCCTTCATTTTTTTTTATTTCAATAATATCCTATATTTTCTGGGTCGAGAAATTTTTGTCAAAGATATTTTGGATCGGATAAAAATAGCATGTGAAATGATTTTAAAAGTTTTACGATGATCTAATTGTAAGCAAATAGCATATATGTACGGGTCAAGAACATGTGATGCCGTATTACTATGTTATTGAATCTGTCATTAGAAGTTCGAACTTTATTGACAGGCGCACTTACGCCTCTCTTATTTTTAGTCCTCCATTATGCAACTAAAACTATTATTTGGTTCAAGGTTGAAATCTAATATAAGACTATCACGTGGCGTTATTTTAATTCCGCGGGAGATATCATGTAAAAATCCGCGTAAATTGTTGATTAAGAAGAAAAACGAATCGTAGCACGACAATGAATATTAACGCAGGACCATCAAGCTTTTACGAACAATTTACAAGACTTAATCGCGGACGAGGACGCTCTCCGATTTCTCTCCTACTTCAATGACGACGAAGTAAATCTTACGGTAAAACATAATCTGCATCAGTCTCGCTCTGCGTAATTGGTTTAATTAGACCTCGGGACGTCCTTAACGAGCTCGGCCGGTCACGGAAGCTTACCTTGATTAAAGTCCACCTGGCCGAAGGAGGCGCTCCTGTAGGGCACGCCGGTCCTGTGATAGGCGAGCAACCCACGCGGCTCCAGCGTGGTTACCGCATCCCGATCCTCCCCCTCACCGCCAACGGAAGCGGCGTTCAGGTTATCGCACAGATCGTCCACACTCGTTGCACTGTCCACCACGGAATCACTGTACTGTCTCAAGTGCTTCGCCGCCTCCGCGTTGGCGTTCTGTTTGCTCCTGAGGTCACTGACGTCACCACTGTTTCTCTCGGGTCTGCCCGTTCTCGAGGGCTTCCTCGAGTCGTGGCAGGCCTTTCGATACGGGTCGTTCCCTGACCGATCACTGAGACACTCTTCACTGACACTCTCACTACGGACGATCGACTTCGGATGATCCTTCTGCTGGTGCTGCTGATGCTGTGGTTGCTGATTGTTGCCACCATGTTGACCGCCCTCGCTGTAGGTGAAGCTGCGATGAGACGGACGACCATCGTAGCGACCTGGATTTGAGTCCGTCTGACAAAGATCCAGAGAAATTTCTGTACAATCAAGCTTCTTGCATTACGTCGAGTTACAAATCTAGCGGAACCCAGATGCTCTTCGTGTGCATTGTACATAGGTACGCCCACTTCATTTGTGGGTGGATTTTAATTAGATGTCTAATGTTACGTAGGCAATAAATCAGATAATGATTTATATATGATGCGTGATCATTAAAATATCATTTCGGTAACCTTTGACCTCTATTATTCTCTGCCACCCTTAATAAATACCTTGCTATATGATATCAGCGATACCGTTATTACATCGTTTAAACAAGAATTAATGAACGATGACATCGAGTCAAGCAAATAATATTCAATAAACGTTGACTTATTGAACTGAAATTAACCTGATTTTATATTGTTTTATTGAGTCCTGTTTTATTGTTACGATCTTATATGGAAAGAAATTATTTAAGGATAACAGAGGAAATATATGAAAATGATCACGAGCAGCATGACAATTATATTATTCGTTGTGCGTGTGCTCTTATGTAGATTACGAGAGAACGATCATCATTATACGCGTCTTGGAATGCACCGAGTTCAGCGAAATCGTGACAAAGGTGTCTCACGAATCGTAAACTTCAGCAAAACTCTTCTTGGAACGAGCGACAAGATGGCCATTGAGATTTATTAATGAGAAGTAGATACATCGGCTACTTCTTAGTCAAAGTGATCTCAATATAATTATTCTCTCTTGTAATGATAAGAATCAAATATATTAAGTCAAATATTTAATATTAATTTTAATATTCTTCTTAATTATCTCAAATGATAAAATTAAAAAAAAAGATAATTATACTATCTTACTATAAATGCAATATAAAGAAATTTAATAATAAATAAGTATCTTATCGATGCAAAAAATCTTATAAACTAAATAAATCACTATCTTTTTTTTTATTTATTGATTCTTAATAATTTTGACAATTTATGAGGAAAATCTTATAATTTTTAAATAACTTCTCGTATAATTAATTTCATAATAAAATAATGTTTTACAACATTTATATGATGACAGTAGATATTTTCTTTTTTTTTTTGACAATATGTGTATTTGAAGCAAACATATGAGAAAATGTAAAGAGAAAATAGTGATGCGAAAAATATCGCTCGTTCGTGCGCAACGGAACGCGTCATGCCCTCGTCACCGTGACGTTTGGAATTCCTCACCTGTGGATAATTTTGAGACGACGGCTGGTATCCGCCCGGAGGAGGGGAGGAAGCCTGGACCCGCGACGGTCTTCTGGGTGGCGGAACCGGTGCCGGTCCCTTGAGCTTCTCGGTGAGCTCACGAAGGCGCTCGGCCTTCTCGCTGCGGGGGCCGGAAGAGGACTTCTTGCCACTTCCTCCTCCGCCCCCGCTCCAGCGAAACCTGTGCAGTCGGTCCACCGCTATCACGGCTGGTTCCTGTAGCCGGGCAGGGAAAAACAAATAAATTTCACAGCTTCGATAAGCGTAGACAGACGAAATCAGCTCGTGAAACACGTAAATGATCATGTTTATTTTTTATTCATTTTCAACGACACGAGACAATATCAGCAAATCTCGATAAAATTAATTTAATCAATCTTTAATTTTGAATAGCGTTAATTATTCAAAAATTCAAACTATCCGAAACAGAATTAATTTACCATGTTTTTTTGGATTTATATTCAGTTATAAGAAATAAAATTCGAGGAATGTAATGCTATATTGCAGTTTTATTGAGCAGGACAATCGTTTTAAAATAAAATATATATAAATTCCATTTCGGAACAAAATTTTGATTGAAACATTTCGTTTCTACGATTTCTTCTAATATTTTTTCATTCACATTTAATGGAGAGGATATTGATATTAAAAAATTATTAATTCAAAACTATTAAACTAATCTTATTAATTTTATTAATAACGTAATGCTGTTGAAGAAAAATCTAAATAAATCTTAGACAGATAATTCCGCGAAGAACGAAATTTCATAACAATATTGTCTGAAATTGAATTGGTAGTTTGTAAAATATATTTTCCATTTAGAGACTGAATTAGCGTTGAATCAGAAATAATCTTACTCTCGAACTCTGTCTAAAACGATTTGTTTGATTGAATTCTCTAAGAAAAATAATTGTAATTTAAAGAAATATATTTTTTAGTGTCTCTCTAATTTTCAATAGTCAAAACAAACATTACATTTATTCAGCAAATCAGTGCAAATTTCTGACAAAAGCCAGAGCGTGCATCGCGCTTCTACGATTGACGCGCATCGTGCTTGCGAGAGGACGTAATCTCGACGAAGTGGCAGGCCCAGGACATCTCGTATGCGCGCATACGTAAGTGTCTAGTCGAAAAAGAAGCGATATTCTATTTTCGTCGCCTCTATCTTCTCCCCCTCGAAACGGCGGCGTGCCGCTGCGCGTGAGGCGATCCAAAAATCGGGCGAACGCGCGAGAGTGCGCGATTTTAAAAAGTAAATGAAGAAACCGAGACGGAGGGAATATGTGCGCGGAAAGATCAAGCGTGAATTTTGGCAGCCTCTTTGCGAGCCGACGAATTTTCCTGGCACGAAGAGACCGCGAGTGCTTCGAGGCGAAGTGAGAGGATGCGTCTGACAGTCTCGTAAAAATGAGAAAAAGATTCTCGTCCACGATGGAGGGAGCAGTTTTATCATAAAGCCCCCTCGAGCATAAAAAAATTATGTCACACAAATTTAAAATAATAATAATAAATATACTTTTTCAAGCTCTACATCATCATCAGCTCTACATCATCATCAGCTCTACATCATCTCATGGAGACTTGAAAGATCTCTCGAATGCTTTGAAAGAAGAAAGATATTATTTTTATTATTTTAAGGAATCTTTCTTCAATTGAACATTATTAATTTCTTTAATCATAATGTCAAAGAGACAGGGAGGAGCTGAGAAAAAATATCTTCGACACAAGATAATCATCTGTTTTCTCAAGAAGACATAGTTTCACGTCCGCCATCGGTAGTATTTACGAGGGGATTAAATTTCTCGCGATGACCTTGAGACTTACCTCGGGACTGCTGACACAGAGTCTTCCGGACCTAAGCCACTCCACCTTGTATCCCTTGCGACGATCTTTCGCACCTCACGCGCAGTCTACGCACGAAGCTCGAACCTCGCGCAAATTCCAGGTGAACGCGATCGAACGGCCATCGCGGGGAAAAAAAGAAACGATCCACTCGCGAACGATGTAACGGCCGAGAAACATCAGTCGAATGAACCGAACGAGCCGATTAGACCCAGAGAATCGAGAACGAATCGATCGATTTCGAGTAGTACCTGAAGCTTGAGCGTCTGATGCTTCGTCCACTGCGCGAGCTGCCGCGGCACCGAGACGGTCTGCGTCGTCGTCGGGATGCCGGACGAGTAGCCGAGCGACGTCGAGGGTGAAGTCGGCGTCGTCATCGGCGGATACGACGACGTTACCGCCGCTGCCGCTGCTTGCGGGTAATGCTGCTGTTGGTAGTGATGCTGCTGATGCTGGTGGTGGTGGTGATGATGTTGGTGGTGGTGTGACTGCTGCCTCTGCTGCGGCTGCTGGCTGGTGCTGCTCGTGTTCCCCACCGACGTTTGCACCGCGCCGTGGCTATTATTAGCGAACGTCGGCGTCGTCTCCGCGACGCTCGCGATAGAAGCAGGAAGAGGCGGCGAGCAGCCGCCGTCGACGGTAGTCGAAGGGCACGAAGGCGTCGCGGACGTCATCGAGGACGCGATCGAGGATGGGATCGAGGCCGGAGGGATCCGCGGGAGCGGAAGCCGCGATCGCGGCCCGATGCAGCAGCAATCGGCGATGCCGGCCAGATCGATCGGCGGCTTCTCCGCCGGCTTCTCGGTCAGCCGCTCCCGCGAATCGCTCTCCCGCTTTCGCCGATGCTCCTGCGAGTCCTCTCCGGAGTTGGCCGGCGGCAGGCTCTCCTGGAATCACACGGCCGATCTTGCTTCGTAAAGCGATTCCCCATCGTTGCTTAATTTACCGCGAATTTTTTCAGTTTGCCTGAATTTGATTTATTCCGTCAGAAATATGGCTAATAATATTGTCCTTTATTATAAGATATTTTAAAAATAGAGTACACTATACATTTTTTTTTTATATTCAAGAGTAGTTGGTAAAATGTCGACATTATGAATTTCGAACTCGTTGAAAGTTTACCCTTACAAGTTTAATTTGGAATATATATTGAGCAGACTTGGTTTGCAATTTTTTTCAAGGTGCCTCGTATTTTCGTTATTTATTCTACTTCTTTGTACTTTGTAAACACATAATTTTATTTTTCCATCTCCGGTAAAGCATTTTCCTCGTTTCTTCTCATTTCTCTTCTTCATATCCCGGTGTTTTGAGTCAGAAATATTCTACATCAGAAACATTCGCTGTCTTAAATGCATCTCGTCTTTTTAAACTTGTGAAAAAATGACGTACGACAAGATGTTGCGTATTTGATTGTTGAGGATGCAGCGTGTTTCTCTCTGCGTTGTTTCTAAATCCCGGCCAATCTCTTTTATATCATCAATCCCGGATAATATTTTCAGCAGGTCGGAATCTATCGTGACGTCATCGATTCAGATGACGACAAATAATTGAAAGCGATTTATATAGATCACGACAGGATTCAGTAGAGAATAACGCGCGAATGTGTCACATGAGATTCATGTCAGTCGTACGTGTCGAGTGTGACGTCAACGATGCTTATTATTTCGGACAAAATGTGAAAAGAGAGGCGTAAAGTCGGAACAAACAGCGGAGATGAGAAGTGAAGAGCCGCCGCAAAATCGGCTCGAGTCAGTGACTGGCGGATTCTATTTGTGCGATCGGTTCTAAGTTTAGGTCCTTCGACGTCTTAATCTTGTTGTCGCGAATCGTCCCTGTCACGACTCGATCGAAGGTCGTTGCCGGTGGTCAAATTCAAAGAGAATAGCCGGATTAGAAGGAATTTAAAATGACGCAAATTTCTCTCGTGGAATAATATAAATTCCGCTTAATCTTATTTTTAAATCAGACTAAAATACTTTATAAATCTAATTTTCCTTATTTCAAATCATTTTAAAATATTTTATTAAACTTTATTTTTCAAAATAAATCCTAAATTAGGAAACGATCGAGCTACAGTAGAGATGTATATACATTTTCTTTCATGACTTAAAAATGAATATAAATTCATTAATTTCTAATAATGTTGTTTTGCACATTAAAAAAAATTATTTAATATAAATTATTTAATTATAAATTATTTAATTATAAATTATTTAATTATAATTATTATTTTTCATTTTACTATTTTAAAACATTTTAATTAAAAAAAGTTCTGACAAGCGTATGCTTAATGAATGGATTGCACAATACCTGAGAGATCCGCAGGCCGTATCTGGTGCCACCCAGAATGACATATCCACCACCGGCGCCTCCACCTGTCATAGCCCTCGCGGCGCCCCCCAGCCATCCTCCGAAGCCACCCCCTCCCGTCCTCTGGGGTCCGCTACCCCCGTCTCCTCCGCCAGCGCGGGGCATTCTTCATCCTTCCCTCACCCTGAAATACAGAATAAATCAATCCGGACAACCATCTAAATGAAAAAAGTAATCAAATGTCGAGAGAGTTGACATCTAAAAATGGCAGGTGCATAAATATAAAGCAGAAAACGAGATGAATCTTGCGCTGCGTTGCTCGAGAAAATATCGCCGTTCGCATGAATCGTCCTCATTCGAGATTCATACGAGATATTAACGATCTCCGTTTGAGTTACGAGCGAACGATTCGCGCGACGGACGCGTCACGCACTTACGTACGCAAAATGCGGCTCACTCCGTGAATTACTGCGAACGTTCGCGCATTCCCCAATAACTGTCGGTCACGATCTTATTTATTTATCGTGCGCCATCGCCGATGAATGAAGCTCGCCGGAATTTGCGAGCCGCTAACCATTCAAAGTCGCTACCGGAAGCGACGAGGCCACCGGCGCGACTGCAAGATCGATGTACCGCCGCGAAATTCTTTCTTGGCTCTCGTCAGGTCCGAGAACAAGCAGGACGACGTCCGAGGGGGGTCTCCTATTTCTGTGGATCGTTAAAAAAATTTGCGAGAACTCACAACAGGTTTACGATTTCGCCACGAGATATTTCGAGAGGACCACGCAGATTAAAATAAATTGCGGGATAAATAAAACGGGACAATAATGCGGAAGCGCTAAGTAACAAATGATTATTTTTCAAATCCTTCATTTGTAATACGATTCAGAAATGTTCTTTTTATATGAATTGCTCCTATAATTCATAGAAAATTGTTATTTTATACTCCTTTCTGTTTCTATTTTTTGAAATGTGAGATTAATGATAAGGCACAATCAAATATATTACTTATTTTCGTTGAATAATACCAACATATGTTACACAGGAATATATAATTTCGCCTACATTATCCAGATTTAAAATTCAGTCGCAGATTTTTTTTCATACAGGCTCTCATGTTGCATATTCCAATAAAATCTCCATTATTAAATTATTTTTCAAAATGCGTAGTTGTGTATATCTATAAAAATCGTGCTAAACCAGCGAATTTGTAATGATCCAAAGTCGCTATCAGATCATTCAAATGGAAAGATTCGTGAATCTTTCTATTTAAAAATAAAAAATTTCAAATTCTGTACATGGAATACGAATTTAATCCGACCTACACAAGTTTCTCCCACGCATTTTCGTTCAACAAATCGCGCGTACGATTCTTTTTTAATCTTCTTGTTTTAAAAACTCTCTTAAAACTTCAAAATTAAGGATTTTAACAAGATAATGAGTGATAGACATTTAATGATACACAACATTATAATTTAGCATTAAAAGTGTATGTAATTATATACAGTGTGTGTGTGTGTATTTGTAATATTATTTAAATAAATTTTCTTTTCTATATGTGTATCATATAATCGATAGAAAATGAAAGAAGGCATTAAAGAGATTTCTTATTATATATTTGTTTGATAATATTGTAAAATTGAATAAATTGAATTCAAAAATAAAGAATTTAAACGCAGCCATTGCACTCAGCATTAAATGTAAAAACATAAATTACACATATACACATACACGTAAAGACACCTGGTGACTTGCATACAAAGGCTATTTATGCTTCAGATATTTTCTTACAATTTATTACACGCATGTTTCATTTTATTCTAAAGTTCGCTTCATATATGCTTCGAGAGACCCGTGTTATTGAGCCAATTGCGCATTTTCCATTGGAATCGATGGAAGATGTGCGCGATAATCCGAACCGGATCAGCTGATCGTTATAACGCATAATTGTCGCGATGCTTCGCGGATCAATGCGCAAGTTTCACAGGTCATCTGCTGGCCGTTTATCGTACACGGATAAATAAGCAAGTAATTAAAGCAAAACTGCAATTAAGCTACATAAATCTCGATCTGCCACCTACATGCACCTCCTACGTTTTCATTACAAAATAATTTGATGGAGAACAGTAGACAACAAGTAGTGACAATGTGAGGCTTTATAATGTGTATGTGTGTGATTGCTGTCTAATAAAATTCTTATATAAGAAAGAGATAAATATATCAAGAAGGATCGCGCGCGCACTTTTATAATATGTCATTTATTTAGAAGCAAAGCACAATTTTGTCAGGAAAGATTTAGGTTTTATTTTTCACATTTCGTATATATATTTATTTTTTATTTGTGCCATACCGTTCTTTAATCCACGTTGTAAGTTTCAAATTTAAGAAATGCTAGACATGTAACTTGGCTGACATTTCGAATTTTATAAGCCTCGTTCTTGCCCCTCCGCGCGATATTAAGAAGATTAACTGACAACTACTTAAATAAACAACGAAATTTATCGCGCATGCAACGAGAACGTAAGAATACAGATTTAATTGCGATTTATATCCGAGGAGTTGCAAAAGTCCCGCGGTTTAATGGACATACGTTTAAGTAGATAAGCATGGCCACGGCTGACAGGTATAATGGATGAAAATTCGCAGGAATTCGCGCGTGTGGCCTTGCATAAAAAAAAACATCCGTTCCAAATTTATTATTACCGTTAAAGCAAACGGGACACATCGCCGAACCGGAAGTTATCGTCATGCATTATTGCACCGCTACTCGAGCTATCAATGGTATTCGACACAATTATTTTTTCTTTCCGTTTGAAACAGCTTTTTTTCATCCTAACTAGACTTCCGACGCAAAATTAACTTTGTCTGCGACTGCAAATTTTTATAAAACTGTACAATTGTCCAAAATAATTTGTTCGAGAATTATTTGAATCTTGAATTTTATTTTCCCTATATTTAAGAAAATTAGAAAAAATAAAAAATTAAGAAAATTAATTAATAAAAAAGTATCTATCTTAACACTCTTTATCTCTTCGAGTGTTTTCATATCATAATCCTCAACAAGTTTAATGGACATCAGAGATCCATGTGTGAAAGATTCTTCAAGGAAAGCCGCGCATCACTTTCGTCTGTTAAAAGCGTGCCTTTTACATACTATTCACGTGCCTCGCTACCGTAAGGTAAGGTCAGCGAGTATCAGTCTCTCATAGATAGGTATTCATTGCATTATTTTATCTGTAATCGATGACGGATCTATGTCGCGAGTCGTTGAACTCGAGCCAAGATGCTGTCTTCGTTTCTAGCGGTGCGAAAAGATGGAATATAGGAAAAAAAATCGTTCCTCCCTCGCGTCGACGTGAAAAATGTGTTTATCAGCTACGTTACACCGTTTGGCGTTCATCCATCGCGTCTGAATTTTTCTAATGTGACGGAAAATGTATTTTCGTCGATGAAAATCAGTCGCGAACCTTTGCCGACAGTGTCCACAATACTGAGTAAGTAAAGATTATTCTTGACGTTTTCTGTGTGCGTTTATCTTTATCCTTGTTGATCTAATTAGTTTCTCCTGCTTCGCGGCAGAAAAATATAGAGTAATATTCAAGACGGCGTTGAACCCTATAGAATAATAAAGTTAACTTCCATAATAATTTTAAAATTATTTTTCTTTCTTACTGAAAACTTAACTGAAAGATATTGTTTCTTGTAACTCTTCAATTCTTAACATTAATGCGTTTTATCATCATGAACATTTCCATGAGAAAAAAAATATATAGAATAACTTTGAAAGATGTACATGTTCTCTTCTAGTCTCATTAAGTTTCTCTTTCAATTTCAGTTTCTTTATTTTTATATAATATAATATAATAATAACATTTAATAAATTTAAAAATTAAAGAATCGAAAGAATTTATTATTCATAATTGATTGGAAAATTCAGCCAATTCTCAAGATCGAACGTAGTGATGATTCTGCATAGTTCATTAAAAGGCATCGATAAATACGCTACTAAATAATGGATGCCAAGGCCAAATTAATTTCGTTATATTTATCCCGCGAAATTTATCTCTACTGCGATTTCTGAAACAGTCATATACAATACCTTATGCTCTTTTAAAGTCTTTAAGGCTTATTAAGATTTTTTTAAGTTAAAAATCTCCCTATAATTTTATAATATTTGTATACATATACATACACATAAATTATATAATAAAAGTACTGAAATAAAATCGTATTTTGCGATTGCGCGTAAGAGAAATATTTATATATTTAATTAAAACAAATTTTTATAATTAATTATATATAACGCACATATTGAATATTTTTCCATCCATTATATAAATGAAATTGTGAAGTGCAAGAGTGAGAAGCGATAGAAGAACTACCAAGGTAAAAAGAACAAAGTCGCGGGCAACACGCGCGAGCAATGCATCTTCGCACGTTGCGATTTGATCGAAGGGGTTCTTGCCCCGGCGTAAGATCAAGATCGCGAAGAAAAGGAAGATCACGTTTTGCCCGGCACGCGGAGCACGTAAGAAAACCGAAACGAAAGCGTAGCTCTCTCGCAGCCTCCAGCTGGATCGCTTCTATTATAAACGCGCGTGTCGCGAACCATTCGGTTCCTCAATTGAATCAATTCGCTCGATTAAAAGAACGACTCAATGAGATTTACATTCGATCGAACGGAGCATATTATTTTCGTTCGCAAATAAAATCTTCCCGTTCTTATTTTCTCTTTATTGAATTTTTTTCTCATTTTATGAAACAAAATACTAAAAATATATTTATGTATATTAAACGATAATTCCAATTATTTCCGTAATAATACATTCATTGGAATTTATTTTTATAACAAGGAAAATGTATGTGGATTTAAATATAATTTTGCGCAAGTAATGCAAAAATTTGCAGTCATTACTGGCTCGTTCAATTCCGAAAAAGGAAAGCGTCGCATAAGGAGAAGCAACCGCATTCCATTTCACGGGACATTATTTGTACAAGGGGGGGCAACTCGTCCCAGAGCTAATAACCGATAAACATTCGCAATGCTTTGTCATCGCGACGCGGCACAGCACGTCGTGAGGTTTATTTGCGAAACGATAAGCATCCGCGTGAAAAGTGTATTCCCGCGTATTTTGACGATTTTGCTCCGGACTCGCGACAGTACGTCGCCAAAATGTCAAAGAA